TAAAGAGTAATCTGTCACCCAGGATATTATTGAGTTTACCCACAGCACGGCAGGAATAAGAGGACGGCAAAACTCTTGTGTTTGACAAACGTAACAAGGCTATTACTTGCCAGTTTTGTCATGATCTTCACTCACCATTAGTATTTTCTGGTCTTTTACAAAAAGATTTGTTTAAAGAAAGGTGAAGTTTGGCGGAAAGTTATTTCAACAAAATTATTGTCACGCTCGTCACAGAAGGTTTGCCATCTTCTTTTCTCTGCCGTCCTGCTGCGTAAGCTCCCTATTAGGGACTTTAAGATCCAACGACGCGACGGTGACAAGAACGTCGCTTAAAAAGTGAATTTGCGTTCTTTCAGTCTTTATAGCGATTATTCCTACCCACTAACTTTGTCGATTGTAGGCGAACCCTCCTGAAGCTGAATTTCAAGGGACCGTAGCCAAGCTCGAAAAGAGAAATAAAATTTTGTCGTTGCTTGTTTACGTCCTCCATAAAACGCGAAATTAGGCATTTTGACGTCGCAGTCGTGCAAACACGGGAAAGAAATGTACAAAAAAGTGTGATTTTAGGTGCTAAATTGTGGTTTTGCTAATTAAACCTATTGTGTTTTTGACGTTCTCGTTGTCGTCTGCGTCGTTGGATCTTAAAGTCCCTATTATCAGTGTGACAATGCGTGTTGGTTCCCGCTCACTGGGTTGTCATGGTTACCTCCCGTGCTGCCTTGCGGCTCCCTCCTTTTGACCATGCACCTTCCCCAAACCCATCTACTGGCGTGGGGTTTAATGAAGGACTGGCTACGCCATGTTTTCTTTCTCTTGAATTCTTTTGCTAACATTTTCAAGTTTGTCTTTCCAGTCCCCACTTATATTCTCAACCATCCTTTTTTTATTATAATGACTAATAACTCTGCGGATGAATTTTTTGTTTTCCTTGCAAGTCCGTTTGCAAGAAATAAATGTATTTTCATATAAATAAAATTATTTTAAATTGTACTCACTGTATGCCTTCTCATCGGCTAAGAGCCCACGGTTAATGTATTTTGAAAATCAGCGCAACCTACAGATTAGTTAAATGTCAAACTAATTCTGTGCGACGGTGTATTGTTATTTTCTTCAAAACAATGTATGATTAGTTTAGCTTTTTGTGATGTCTGAAATAATCAAGGTCTCGGTAAGTGTTATCAGCTAGCGTCTGCCTTCGGCTCGGCTGGTAACACCTCGACCTTTGACTATTCAAGATAACAACAAAATCTCATTCAATAGGTGTTCAATATAGGCACTGGTTAACATTTTCTTGACCATGTTTGGAAATATGATTAAAATTTGCAGTAGTGCATGCTTCGCGATTGACAAGGTGTGTACTTAAACTTGACTTTGCCCATGCCTGGAGAGGAAAATCTATAAATGTCTACAATCGCACCATTCACTATTTATGTGTTTTTAGGATGAGAGAAGATTGGGGCGCGCGGGGATAAATAAATAGCGACTGGGTACGAGTCTGGAGTAGTTGGCCGAGAGGGATTGGCGAAATAATTCCCAATTCTCACTTTCGCTTAATATTTACTTCCGTCTTTCTGGGTTCCAGTCCTCCCTCCTACTCTTTTATCAACGCACGGTTCGAATACCCGTTACCCGTTCACACTGCGACGAAGAGTTGCATAGAAACCAACCCGATATGAGACGATCGACTTTCTAGATCGATGCTGCTTCAATTGAAAGTGGCAAGATTGCTTGGATTAACGATGAAATTCTGGTTTTGATAACTATGGACAAAAGTTTCCTTTGCTGTTTCAAAGGTACATCCCCGAATGGGGAAAATTGGTTTGAACACGTTTTTGTTTTACTGAGTCATTTGGCTGCCAAGAGACCCGTGACTGTGGGTCACTACCATGGTACCCTTTGAAAATATAATGGAATGAGTTTTTGGTGTCTTTATGCTTCTTATGACGTTGTATGGCGAAACAAAGTCAAAAGGTTTTCATCAAACTTCTGCTCGAAAGTTGGGTTTTCTCGCTTGAAAACCGATTTACCTAGCGTGATAATTTGTGACAGAATAAGAAACTTGCCTTAAAATATGTGAAAAACGTCCTAGAATCGAAAATGTTTAGCGCCTTTAAGGGGGGAGTGGTTTGTTAATCAAATACCGACTATTCCAATTCAAGGAGAAGTTGTTTTAAAATGGTTTAAGGCATCGAAGAGATCAACAATCACAGTAAACATCTCGTTTTCTTCAGGTTTAATACATTACTTATCTGAAGGTTACATCAGAAACTAAACATTGTATCGTGCAACGTGTTGGGATCAAGTAGAAGCAGTTCAACAAGCCGACCTATAAGTCACCCCATGTAAGAGAATCCACGATAGTCTGGGATTCTGGATTCCACGTCACGGATTCCGGATTACAGGTACCCGATTCCAGTCTTTGTCAGTGGAACTTGGATTCTCAATTCCAATTGCTAGTGGCATTGTGAATTCTTTAAGCTGTACTCCGGACTCCAAAGCCCAGGATTCCGGATTCCACATGCAAATTTTTGCCACATTCCGGATTCCGTTACATGGGGCGGTATAAGGGATGAACCATTAGGAAAGTAACGGGTTGTGTTGAATTTTTGGGAGGTCTATGAAAGTTTTCTCTCTCCTCCTGAGGTGAAAATCTATTTTTCCTCCTCGAACAACTTTTTTGATCATGGTGCGTGTGGAGACATTTTTAATTACTAATGCGTTTGCTTTCCCCCAACCTCCTATTCTTTTTCCTAATGGTGACATCCCTAAATTAAAGCAGCTTCTTTAAATAATATAACTGAGGGATGGCTAAAAGTCAATGGCCTCGAGAAAAGCAACCTAGAGGCAGTAAAATAGGTCAGATTCTCGATAGAATGATGATAGCTTTAACGATTGCTGTAATTTTAAACGCCAGACCTCAGAACGTTGCTGTGTACGTGTTCTGATCTGAAGCTGATCTACTTGATAAAAAGCCCAACTTTTACAACCTAGCACAATTACAACAAAACATCATTAAGTTATTGTAGCGTCCAAATTCTTAATCTAATATCTTCCACTGTTTGGAAACATTAAAGTCGACATCAATTAAAGCTGTTGGACCACTAACGCAATAATACACCAAAACGTTTTTTATGATTGAAATGACTCGCAGTAATTAAGAAACAAGATTAAGAGTTAAACCTAGTTTAACAGCAGAACAAATAGTCTACAGTTGCAGAGACAGAGGCGGACTCAGCTCTACAAGGAAGTGGTGGTGGAAAAATAGAGAAGGAAAATAAATCTTGTTTTCGGATGAAAATTAGATTTCGGGCCCTTTTTCCTTTGTTTGCAGGCATGCATAGAAGGACTATCTGGCATCGCTTTTCCTAGAAAAGGGTTATTAAAATAGGGGAAAAGTCACTATAATGATTCTCAGACGGTCCAATTCGCCAGCGGTCACTCGCTCCTGTCTCTGCGCAGGTTATTCAGTGTATCGTCCAAAACTTACAGTTAAAACTACGAGCATATTCGTTCCCAAACGTGGAAGGCAAAATGTTTACTCTTGTATGAAACGCTAATAATTTATCCATATAAGTTAAACTCGTCTCTGAAATCCCATTTACTTGAATTTAAAAACAGTTTTAATTAAGTGACACAATGTGTGTCCCAATATAAAATATAAGTACAAAATGAAGACTGCAGACTGCTCTCAGTGCAAAACATTGTTTTCACTATGTAAATGGGAACGTGATAACAATTGTCCCATTGACAAATGCATATGAAATAAATCATATATGATAACTGGGGGAATGAAATCAAATGAAGAATGATCCTCGCAGTTGCGTAAGAGGGCTGAAAAAAATACCTGGTGCGACGCTCTAACCAAGTAAGCTATGAAGCCACTGCTAGTCCCATTGTTTTCTAACCCTGAAAACAATAGTCTGCATTCAGTCTGCAGTCTGCAATTTGTACTGTCCACCAATTTATACATTAAGGATCAACAAGACATGAGCATATTAATTTTTGTTTTTTAAAAAATATATAACTAGTTTAGCTGGGAAACCGGGCATCAATCATACAAAACGTGATACACCCTTTTAACCCAGACCTTAAACCACTGAATTGTGACCCGCGGTTCAGAATCACGGTTCAGAGTGCACAAAATACTTACAGTGCATACTTAAAATTTTTAAAATTATCTGATTAAAGTCTGAATCACCCTAGTGAAACCACGGCCACGCTTGTATATGGTTAATTGGTTCGTCTCCGTCCCGTTATGAGACTTGGGATTCTTAACCCTAGGACGTACAGCGTCACTATAAATCTCTCTATTTAATATCTTCTGACAAAAAATGACTAAAATGAAAACACGCTTTTTTACCAAACGCCCCATTGACGACAGCTATTAAATAACGCACTTCCTTCTTTGGAGAAATCCAGATATATATACACGCTACTTCAGCAGTTGTGTTGACATCAAACTTTCAGCGCATCCCTGTAAAGAAAGTAACAATTTGTACATTAATTAATCTTTCATTTCAAAACAAAATAAAGGTCAAAGCGTTAAATTTTAGGATGCCATGGATGATGATATGAAAAATAGCAAAATGAAAAACATTTAACATGTTGGACAAATTTGTTCGTTTTGAAGCTATGATTTCTCTACATATAGTGCTAGTCCTGTAGAAAAACGAAGGAAACTTATTCCCTATGTATATCTTTTATCCACACCTGACCTAAACTATTTAACAATTGAGAACATTAAGCAATGCCTAGTGTTCAATTAATTTTTGAAATGTGTTGGTAGCCCGTTAGAAATAGCATTTACTTGAGTGAATCCATAATAATTTAACAGTTACCACCCAACCCATCCTTACTTTATACCTATTTTTATTCTTTTTATGATCAAGCCTGTCATTTTCCTTTTATCTGAATTTGACAAGAGTGGTTCTAGCTTTTCTTCTTAAGCCTTCTGTTACTAGAACAGCAAGGAAAAAAATATCCACTTACGACTTGCTCAATTACTCTTTTTCCAATTCAATCTTAACGTTATCGCCCATCAGAACAAATGGAGCCCAGTACTTTGGAGCAGAATAATCGTGGGAGTCTCGAAGACATTTCATGGCTCTCTGAAGAGCAACACTTGCACTTTCTCCACTTCCAAGTTGTTCGTAGAAAGATTTCATAAACATCATTGTGGCTTCGTCATCAATTGCCCAGAGTACCGCCAGCACGGAACGAGCACCAGCAAACAAGAAAGCACGTGCCATACCGACCACACCCTCAGACAAGACCTCTCCTTGACCACTGTGGCAGCAACTAAGCACAACCAGCCTCGCTCTCAGCTTAACAGCTTGTATGTCAGACATTTTCATAATGCAGTCCTCCTCCTTAGGAGTGTCGGATTCCCATCGGGGGTCTGGGGCCAAAACAATTTCCCCGGTTTCCGGTCTTCCGTGGGCTGCTATGTGAACCAAAGACACTGACTTGATTCTCTGAAGTACCGCTTCTTTGGTTGCATCTTCACCTGTTAAGGGTTGACTCTTTAGAATTTCTCCAATCATCTCCACTTCCGTTTTTGCGTACTCCAGTTGCTTATAAATGGGGTTACCCCATTTATTTGTAATTTTCTGCAAGCATGGATCTCCAATAAGCAGGGCTCCACTTTTACTGTGGTATTCACTTGGAGAATCTGTGATGACTTTCAAACTTGTCAGTGAGGGAACAGTGCGGATCCTTAAAGTTTCACTCAGGGCTGCCCAAGGAGCTTTAGACAAAGCGCCATCAGGAACTACAATTAGTTCATCACCATCAAGCAAGTCTTCAATGGGACCAAGAACTGCATCATATAATGGCTGTAAAAGGCCGGTGCTCTCATGTGATGGCTCCGATGTTCGATTGTCTTCTCGAGTACTTGAGGGAGTTGAGTCATCACTCAGCTTATCCATTGTCCGATTTTCGCACTTAGTACCAACGCCAGCCCCAATGATTTTCAAAACAGTGTCTAAAAGGAAAGTAAAGGAATCTTCGTGTTCAGGACCAATTTCTATCTCCGCTTGCCTAAAAATAGGGTTGCCCTCTTTTCCCAACACCCAGATATTGAGTGTGTTCCCTTGCAGGGCAAGAAAAACTGTTAACCCAGTTGTCCCCTTTGAAATATTTCTGACTTCTTCAGATTCAATTGACCTGGGAGAAAGTGATGTAAGGCCATAAGTCACTTTCAACGCATCGAGCAAAGCCTGTGCTCGTCCCCTCTCAGCAGCGTATAAAGCCTCATCATTCCTTTGAAGCATTGCTAAAACTTGCCATAACCGAGTATAGGCATATTGATGTTCCGTACAGACACTTATTTTCAATTGATCTTCCGAGATAGAATTGGCCCTAATAGTGTCATAGATTTTAACAGAGCATCTAAAATGTTCTAAAGCCTCATTCAAAGAATGTGATTTCGAAAGAGAGTGACCCAGACCTGTATGTGCACATGCTTCTTGCATCCTGTTACCGAGCTCCTTGGCAATGCTCAGGTGTTGCTTGAAACACTCTGTTGCTTCCTTCAAGTTGTGGAGGTTTATATAAAACTTTCCGAGGCGGCAATAGGCATGTCCTTGTCCACCCCTGTCACCGATTTCCTCGGCATTGCTCAGGCTTTTCTTGTAGTACTCCATTGCTCCTGCCACATCGCCGAGGGAATAACGAACGTCCACGCTTGGAAATTTTGACCTAAAATTCGGCCAACTTTTCGCGGCCGCGCGGAGGATTGGGTCCATGTGAATCAAAAAAAAAAATGGCGGCTCAAAGGGAACCTGACCAAGTGGAAGTTATTAGTGGCATTAAAGGAGCATTAAATCGCCAGAAGTCGAATTTTTCCCGGCGGATTTCAAATGTACATAAGCTGAGAGATCTAGATCAAACTTTTCAAGCGCTAGGGAAAGTGGCCGAGGCTGTTGTGAAGGGAAAATACGGTCCCCTTCGGGATCGATATCAGCATGAAATTTGTCCCATATCTTCCATGTTGGAGCGCACAATGATACGTGCTAAGAAAGGCATTTATCGCCGACTTAGTCCGCGGATGAGTAAAATCCATCCTTGGATGATTTGTTTTGACGTCCCGATGCCACAGGAAGTGTTCAATTTATTGAATAAAGAGGTTGCTAAACCACTACGCAGACTCAAGTTTGGGATCTGGCAGCCTTTATTACAATATAAACTACATTAACTTAATACATCATTATTTTGATTCTAATAATTCCTCTGGTACATAAATTAATAACTAGTGATAATTAATAGCCCCTTATAACAATAAAAACAATAACAAAACTAGACAAGACTGCCTCGGAAGTGGGTGGGCGGGCAAAATTTAATCTCAAGGCTAAAACCCGATAATTGTAATAAAGCTTGCTGCAATAGATGGGCTTGTGTAAAAGCTATGACTGCTGGTTGTATCGGACTAACTTGATACACCCTGGAAAGTTGCGTAAGGCTATCTGATAGGCTAGTGTTAGTCTTATGACTATCACGGGACATACTTTACGTCTTAGTCACAACCTTGTGACCCTCAGGCACATACCATTGTACTAGTGTAATAGCCTGGATAGAATGTAGCAAGTTGGCTCACCAGACCCGGCACCCTCTGTCCGTCGACAGGTAGCGGTCTAGACTTATATTAATAAACAAGTTATCAATATCAACCTAAACCACTACGCAGACTCAAGTTTGGGATCTGGCAGCCTTTATTACAATATAAACTACATTAACTGAATACATCATTATTTTGATTCTAATAATTCCTCTGGTACATAAATTAATAACTAGTGATAATTAATAGCCCAAACCCAAGTGTAAAAGGGAGTGTGTTGTGGACGTCAAGTAGTGTGTGTATTAAGAATAGACTTGCAAAGCATGTTGGCTGACCGAAGTCTAATAGTAAGTGGCATAGTGAGGTAAATAAGTATAGTGTCAGAGCGCCAATCCCCAAGGGCTTTTATGAGTTCCACCGGCACCCCTGATTGGTATGCGAAAGATGCCCCACCTCGACGGAATGAGTGCCCCGCGTATGACTGAGGGTCAATACCCATGGTAGTTAGGTGGTCTCGTAGTTTAGAAATGAACATGTTATATGTGAAGAAGTGAGCAGTGGGTGAAGGGCAGACAACCCAGTTGAAGGCTTGACTGTTAGCTGCAGTGGAGTTAGTGAAATGGAAGGCATGTATGATAGCCGTGGTAGGGCATAATTTGCTCCCGGGAATGCAGGGGAGCGGGATATCAACCACCCTTTCCCTAAACTGGATGGTTTTGCTCCATCGAATGGTGACAAGTGTTCCCCAGGAGAAGAACCTAAAATCACTTTTGGTGAGTTGCTTAGACGGGTCGAATTTCCTAGCAGACATAGGTAGCAGGTGGGATTTTCGAAACAGGCCATAGAACGCAACCAGACATATGGCCCAAAAAGAAGAATCAAAACTTTTAGTGAAATTGAGAGTTGCATGCAGGCGCAAGAGGATGGAGGGGGTAATGGGAAATTTTTGGTTTGGCGGTCTACCTATAGCGCGCTTGATGCCAGTGAGTAACGATTTTAGTGGCCAATTATTAAGTAGGGGGTTAGGTAACCCAAATTCTTTGTGAAGTAGGCCGATAATGTTTAGATAACTGCCGATAGATGACGGTTTGAGGGATCTGGCTAAGAAAGCAGCGTATTGCAGTAAGTGCGCCGGGTGTACTGGAACCGGAGTGTAGCCCATGTACGAACAGAAGCGGAGATAGGTGTTGCGATGAGTCTTGTAGGTAGCTTTGGTGGACTCGGCAAACAGTTGTGATCTGTATTGCTGAACTTCGTGGTTAAGTTGGGCCGCCAGGTTCGGGTCTCGAGGATCTGCAAGAGATGAAGCGGTGCCCGTGAATAGACATATGCTTTGTCAGCGGGATGGCGTGTGCGAGAGCTGGCGAAAAGGTATCGCAGAGAAAGGAATAGAAGCTAAGTAATCCCTTTGATTCGTGCATGCGTGAAATAGAATCCGCCAGTGTATGTTTGGCGCCTGGTAAATAAACCGCGGTAATATGAAAATTGTAAAAGGCCGAGAGCCAGAAAAGCGCGCGTAATTCCTGCATTATAACATTGCTAGCCGTAGTTCCTTTGTTTATCATTTGCACAGCCGCTTGATTGTCGCTGTGGATGACGACGCGTTTGTTTGACCATAACCTGCACCACCGTTTAGCCACTTATGTCCAGAAATGCATGCAATGGCGAAAATGGCGAAAAATCGCCAGCTGCTGGCGATTTGAATTGGACGCCAAAAGTGGCCCCTTGGAGGTTGACGATTTTGGCGAAAATGGCGATTTTGGCGAAATTGGCGATTTTGGCAAAAATCGCCATGCATGTAATGGCGAAAGTGGCAAAACTGGCAAAAAATCGCCAGCCGCTGGCGATTTGAATTGGATGCCAAAAGTGGCCCCTTAGAGGCTGGCGATTTTGGCGAAATTGGCGATTTTGGCAGAAATCGCCCTGCATACAATGGCGAAAATGGCGAAACTGGCGAAAAATCGCCAGCCTCTGGCGATTTGAATTGGATGCCAAAAGTGGCCCCTTGGAGGCTGGCGATTTTGGCGAAAATGGTGATTTTGGCGAAATTGGCGATTTTGGCAAAAATCGCCAGAGGGCTGGCGATATGCAGCAAAATATTCAAATTGGATGCCAAAAGTGGCCCCTTCAAAATAGATAACTAAAGAGGTCCTTATAACTGTGAGGCAAATTACTTGCCTAATAAGAGGCCCCAATAACTGTGAGGCAACATTTATCAAATACAATTGAATCAAATATATGACAAAACAGCTTTACCTAACTGTCAAACAACATTATTTTATCAAATACAACTGAATCAAATATATCTGAAAACAACAAATGGAAGTCGTTTCAGTTAAGCTAATATGTATTTGTCCCATGTACTTCACAGGTTAAGTAAACATTTTCTTACTTTCGATGTCGCTTGACTTACCAAACGTGATGTGATGCGCCGAAATATCACACTAGCATCATTTGCTTTTGTATGGTTCATTCCTTTCAAAGACTTACAAGTCCACTAATAACTCGAGGAGAGAACTACCAAGTCCTTGAAATCATAATAATTCCTTGCCATGGACACTCTAACTTTTGAGGTTCAATGTAGACCTTAACAATCCTCACTGGTTACAATTCTCTTCACATTGAGTTCCATTAAATTGTGAGGCATTCTTAACTCAAAAGCGATTGCGAAACGCATGGTTCCTGGCTAAAAGATGCTTTCACGATAACCAGTGTGTGCCCTTCATCCTTTTTTGGTTCTCCGCTATACACATTATCTTCTTCCGTCGTTTTAAACTCTTCACTTTCTTCTCGCACTTACTTGTTTTGTTCTTTAGAGAAACGGTCCCCTAAAAATAACGAAAGCCAAAATGTCCAGCAGCTTGCATGCGCCATTTTGAAATGTGGGAATTCGCTTATTTCAATTCATGTAAACCGGCACGAAATCTCACTTGTGCCCAATACTTCACCGCATTTATTGAACATAAACATTGGATCAAAGTAATAACTTGTTTGTCTCTTTCATAAAACATATCCCATTCAAACTAATTCTGTATCTTTTCATCAACTAGATAAATGAAAAGAGAGTGTACATGTTTGTCTCGTTCTTAAAAAATATGTCCCATTATTGCTTTATGAGGTGGGGCCAGAAATTTAGAAAATGTATTGTTTTTTTTGCGCTGAGACCACCAAACCAATTCTCAGTACAATATGTGTTCCATTAAATTGCTAATGCAAATGCTCGTCGAAGCACGTCAAACCCGGCCTTTTTACCTTCTATTTTAACAATTGCCTGAGAGTCCCTGTGAACGACATTAATCGTTTTGCTTACATAGAGTGACCACCAAAGTCGGCTGGGAATGACATTAATCGTTTTTACTTACATAGAGTAGTTATCCAAAATGGACCATTTCAACATGGCCGCCGCGTGTATATAACAACAACTAAACCTTACACGTTCATGTTCTGTGAAACTGCAATGAACCAGCTCGTTTATATATACTTGTACGATTGAACGCCATTATGACAAACAGGATGGATATACAAGGCAATACGGACCATCTAATTATCTGAAAGCGTAGCCAAGAACCAACCTGGATTCCTCATAACAGATAATGTTGAACTGTCGCTATTCAAACAATGCCTACAAGCCTGGAAAATTAAGGATACCTATCTTGGATTTTTTGGTAAGAAAGTTGCCATGAACATTACGAAGATTACCATTTACTGATAATCGAATACAACTCGTTGGCCATTCGATTTGAATTGAGCAAGAAATTTGTTGTAAGTGGTAATTCCCGACCAAACACTCTTGTCTGGGACGAATTTCAAATCACAAGAGGTTATCAATTAAAGGTAAAAGCATTAAAAACAGATTAATGACACTTAAGTTACAGTAGCGTTGTCATTATTAGTATACAATTATACTATTGGAAACATTTTTATATTAATATGTGGTTAACTATTTGGCAATTAATAGCCATTTCAAAAGGGACCCTTTGCTATGTCATTTCAATTTGTCTTGACAAATTAGGTATTTCATCGAGTAATTGCCATTTCTGCCAAAACACGTTTTAAGAACGAGGCCAACATGCACTCTATATTTTTTTTTTATTTGTGGTTGATGAAAAGATACAGAATTAGTGCACGCCATTTTCGCCAAAATCGTCACTTTCCAAAGGGCCTCTTTGCTATCTCATTTGAATTTTTGTTTACAGTTTGGCGATTTTGGCGATTAATCGCCATTTCTGCCATTTTCGCCAAATACGCCATTTTCGCCAAAATCGCCACTTTCCAAAGGGCCCCTTTGCCATCTCATTTGAATTTTTGTTGACAGTTGGGCGATTTTGGCGATTAAGCGCCATTTCTGCCATTTTCGCCAAATACGCCATTTTCGCTAATATCGCCACTTTCCAAAGGGCCCCTTTGCCGTCTCATTTGAATTTTTGTTTACAGTTTGGCGATTTTGGCGATTAAGCGCCATTTCTGCCATTTTTGCCAAATACGCCATTTTCGCCGAAATCGCCATTTTCCAAAGGGCCCCTTTGCCATCTCATTTGAATTTTTGTTTACAGCTTGGAGATTTTGGCGATTAAGCGCCATTTCTGCCATTTTCGCCAAATACGCCATTTTCGCCAAAATCGCCACTTTGCTAAGGGCCTCTTTGCCATCTCATTTGAATTTTTGTTTATAGTTTGGCGATTTTGGCGATTAATTGCCATTTCTGCCATTTTCGCCAATGCGTGCATTTCTGGACATATCTCCGTTTAGCCGCTAACACTATCGCCAAGGTTTCCTTGTGGTTAATGTGCAGTTGTGTCCATGCTGGGCTGTCCATCGGAAAACTGTGGTAAAACCAGTCTCCCCGGAAATACCCACCGGCTGCTACAGGGCAGGCGTCCGTAGCCACGTCTAGGGTTGGTAAATCGTCGAGAAACAGTCGTGTGCCGTTAAAAACGTTAAGGAAAGTAACCCACCATGCGATGTCGTCACGAAAGGATTGATCCAACCTGAACTTCCCAGCTGGGCGGGGGGCATTCATGGTATCAAGGATTCGTCGCAAAACAGTGCGGCCGCCGTGAACCACGCGACAAGCCCAGTTCAATTTGCCCGCTAGCCGCTGCAACTGCTTTTTGTTCGCCCGCTGTTTGTTTTGAAATCCGATCACCAGGGCCTGGAGCTCAGCCAACTTGTCATCCGGTAAGGTCATAGTGCAAGCTGTTGTGTCCAGCTGAACGCCAAGAAATGTCAAATTCTGAGTAGGAGCTATCAGTTTATGGTCACTAATGGAAAAGCCGAGGTCTAAAAGAAGCTGTAAGAGCGTGTCATACGCGAGCTGACACTGTTCCCGAGTAGCACCTATGACTAAAAAGTCATCGAGGTAAACAATGATGTCGGTGAACCCTCGTCTGGCCATCATCCGACGCACTGATTGCGTGATGCGGTGGAAAATTTCAGGCGAGCTTTTTGCGCCGAAAGGTAAACGCGTATCATAGAAATAGCTAAAGTGCTGATCCCCAGAAAATTGCCATTTACAACCCGTTGCCGGATAGTTGTCCGGGTGAATAGGTACCGAACGATACGCATGTCGAAGATCAATCTTGGCCATGTAATAATTAGGTCTGAGTAATTTGACGGCATCGTCGAGTGTTTGGAACTTAAATGATTCGGTAGAGATATAGTCGTTAACAGCCTGCCCGTGAGGCCGAGAGCAATCGTGAATGAGACGAATTTCGGGTGAATTTGGTTTAGGAATAGCTCCTAAAGCGCTTACGATACGCGGTTTAACAGCCGACAATACATAATTGCCTTGCGCAATCTCGTCTCGTATAGTCTGTTCGACCTTAGGTCTGCTGACTGGATTTGTCGCCGATTTGTAATTGTCCATGTCAACATCCACAAAGCTAGTGCCCGTTTCAATTAATTTAAAGCCACTGCATACGCCATTGCAAAGAAAAGCCGAATCCTCGTCGTCTTTTAGTTCCGAAAGCCAAAGGTCGCGTTTGAGGGGATTAGTGCCTATTGGGAGTCATGAACTGGGTTGCGTGTTTGGGGGCCCATCCAGTTTGTGAGAATACCCGGGGTGCGATAAACCACATGCTTTCCCTGCTACTTTCCGGTTACACACGTGCGCGAAGTTGCAGTTGTGAAGGGTACAACCCCTTGGCCCGTTAAAATTGCGACAAATAACCCTGCCCTCTGAGGTGAAAGTAGCAAAACCCGTACGTGTTGAAGGTGGGTTAGTTTGTGATGGTTTAGTAATGTTAGCCTTGAATA